GAATAAAAAACTATTTCTAGTTTTGTAAACATATACAGATGTCTTGGAGCCGTTTTGATGGAATTTTTACCCTATTTGACTCTGTTTCTGTTAAAAATAATAAAAAAAAAAAATTAACAAAAACGGAACATGAAAAAGCATGAATAATCCGACTGAATAAGTGTAGTTCATTTGCGTTGATGTTTAATAGTGCCATAATAAAAAGTTACCAAATTTTCATTGTTTTCGTGTAACGCCCCAGACTAAGGAATATCTGTTGCCTCTTAATTTCCCCATGTTCTTGTGCAATTGAATGCCCTCGTGTGAACGCCTTAAGGGACTAGTCCCTGCTACCGGTCCCCTCGTGTAAACCCTTCAAAGACTTGTCTCCGGAACTAGTCGCACGGACTAGTCGCACGGACTTGTCGCCGGAACTAGTCGCACGGACTAGTCGCACGGACTAGTCGCACGGACTAGTCGCACGGACTAGTCGCACGGACTAGTCGCAGGGACTAGTCCCGTCGTGTGTGCCGACCTTAAGAGTTCTACATCACACGACGGTTGATTGACAAATGGTCCAGTGAGACCTAAAGCTCCTTTTATAGCGCGCCTTCGTGTTTAAGGTTCCAAGTGATGTTGTGCGACGGCTTGCCCCAGCTTTTAGATCGTTTGAATGATACATTTGAATAATCATGCAAAGCTCGTTGGCGCCTGTCAAGTCATAGTTGGGTGATTTCTTTTGTAAAGGTTGTTTGCCATAACGGCTTCTGTCTTAATGAACAGCGTTTGCATGTTATCGCTCTCGGCACAAAACTAGGAAATCTGAGATCAACCTGAGCCAATAAAGCTGTAATCATTCATAACGCGAACCAGAATCATCACAAACAGGCGGAAGAAACTTTACGAGGTGAGCTTAGTAAACAAACTTCTTACTCGATGCGAGGGCGATTGTTGTCGTGCCAAGCCTACTTAATTTCATACTTATCACAGGATCAAAACATAACCCTGTTTGTGCTGAAACGAAAACGAAGTGTTTGAGCGTGGTTAATTAAAAATCGGAAATGGTTAACCTCTCATCCTTGCGTCGTTGCCTTACCATCTATGAAAGAGATGCGCACTGAGATTGAAATTGTAGGTGTCGTCTGAAATTATACTTGTCGTTGCCAAAATCTCAAAATAATTATTCTCGGTTGACCTAATTTTCTTTCTTTTAATTTTCCAATGGGGCTAACGTTATAGTCAAATTATAACGTTATAGTAACAACGTTATAGTCAAGAACACAGGCTTTTCTTTACTTTTACTAGTGCTGTAATTTGATCGTTTGTGACGTGCAGCCCTCGACCCTCAGTTATTCCATTGATCAAGGGGGAAAGTGAAATGATAACAAACCGGCTTTTGGTCGCTCATACCACTTATTTAGACCACATAACGAGTTGTTTGGCCACTGATTTTCAATGCCGATGTGTTTTTGTTCAGGTTATAGTAAGAATGTTACGGTTGCTGTCATTGTGTTGGTCTGCGAAGAAAATGAGCTTGTTCGGTGAAATATTACGAGTTTCATTGTCTAAATTTTATCCAGGAAAACAAACTTCAAACAAATAAAGAAACAATGAAAGCATTGTTTTGAATGAAGAAGAATGCTAGCGCCACTTTAATCTGCTCATATTTCATCGCAAATGAATAGGATTACATGAAAATTGTCGTTAGAATTGATTTAACGGCAATTTGTCGCAAGGTGTGTATATTAGAGATAACTTTGAAGAAACATTGAGCTATAGTTTATGCCACCTTATCAAGAATTACAATAAAATGAAAAAAAAAGAAAAAGAAAGGCCACTGGTACATAGAGAACTTATCCGGCTCTTTTGGGCATCAGTGGCTGATTCAAAGATTAAAATTTTCTCTCCTCAGGTAAAAAAATAAAGAAAAAAAAATTCTTCAAGGTTTCCACGATTTGCAGATCACATCTATCACGAGTTAGCTACTTCTGTTTTACGCACCGAAGACGCCACTGTGTAATTATTTTGAGTTGTTTATCAGCTTTTGTAGCGTCACGGCAAGAGCTGAAAAAGTTAATCTCCGAATCTACTTGGAAAATTCACTGAGTCAAACGGTAAAATATCTCTCGAATGGATAAAAAATCCTTTTAGTTTTCACATCTATTAAGATATTTCTACAAGGAGAAGTTTTGGTTTCAATCCCGCACCATCCTGAAATGATTTTGAAATATTTTTCGTCTTCTGGTGTGTCACGGTAAGAACTGAAAAAGTGACATTTTGGGTTGTTTAGGCACAACATACTTTGTTTCAACGGGTATTCTTCTTTCTTTAGTGTATGCTGCGCCCAACAATCTCCAGTGCAACTGTCGAACTACGAAGATAATCCGAAATAAAAATTTATGACATGGCATCGGGTCAAAAAATCGGGTGAAGTTCGGCCTTCTATTGTTACTTTCGATAACATATGCAGCCTCGCCTCCCCAGCTTTATAGGAGGCAGTAGCCACAAAAAAATTCGTCCATCCTCGTGCCTCTTCATTTAAAGGCGACCACAACCCGACCAAACAGTGTTGTCTTCATTTCCTATTGCTTCGTGGAAATACTTGATCTCGAAAAATTCAATCATGGTCAGACTGGCAGTCAAAACCCCAATAGTCTTTTTTTTACAGTTGTGGGCTTGGTGGTCAAGCCTTTGAACAGGAGTGAGGCTAAGGGTGATCTTGTTAGGATAGAGATGTTGCTGCTTTTCAAATGCAAATTTCTCTGTTATCATGCTGGGTAGATACAGGTCTCTGTCACAACAGGGTCACCTTTAGCCTCACTCCTGTTCATAGGCTTGGCCACCAAACCCACAGCTGTAAAAAGGACTATTCGTTCTGTTTCGACCGCTCACGGGCGGGCCGGAGGAGCAAGGTGAAGGAGTCCCAGGACTACATAAGTAATTAAGAAAGTTAATTTGCTCTGTTTCCCTGAAGTAGATGAGATATTATTGACATTGTTAAATCCTGCTGATAGTCGACCTCGATCTTTGTCTAAATTTCAGAAAACCATTAAGTTTGAAGTGTATTCAAAATAAATGCATAGAAAACCGTATTTTCATTAATTTTTACCTTTTAGAAATGAAGCTAACCACTGATGAGGTCTTGGAACAGATTGGCAGCTTTGGTCGCTACCAAATTATTCTCAACATATTTTTCAATCTCGCCTATGCATTTTGGTGGGCCGTTCCTGTGATGATTTCTGTCTTCATCGCATCGGAGCCTGGTTGGCAATGTCAAAATAACTCGACTTGTCCCTATACAGACACCATAAGTCTTGGAGACAAGAGGTACAAGTACAGATGCAATATTCCAAGGGAAGATTGGAAATTTGCAGACGATTTCACTTCTACTGTCACTGAGGTAAACACTAGGAAATTGAATTTTATCACCATAAGAAACTCGCCACATAAGAAATTCGCCAAGTTGTTTTGGAGTCCTAGTATTATGCGATGCTGGTTGCAAAATGAAATTCAAAACTCACTTCTTTGAAAAGGCAAATTTACATTAGGAAAGCTAGAAAAAGAGCAAGAAAAAAGGAATTCTTTCGATGAGTATTTGGTAATATCCATCAACTGTCAAATTCTTGCAATCATGGAGAGTATTTTTAAACTTTACAGTTTGACCTGGTCTGTGAGCGCGGGTCTTTGGGATTCGTTTCCACTTCTCTCATATTTGCCGGATTTTTCGTTGGAAGTATCCTTGTGAGCACCTTCTCTGACAGGTTTGGGAGGAAACGCCCCCTTTTCCTCTGCGGCTTTTTCTGCTGCTTGGTTCATTTCATCTCAGCCTTCTCTCCTGCATTCTGGTTTTTTGCACTTTGTCGTTGCATTGTTGGATTTATGATTGGTAAGTTCATGCAAGAAAGGATCCTCTTTTTATAATTAAACAAACAATAATGGAACAATGGCAAAGTGAAATTTCGACTAATCTCAATTTTGTTGTGAAGAGGACAGTGTGGTAACATTGAACTTTTCTCGCGGAGGCGCTGTCTGTTTCTTTTTTTTTTTTTTTACAATGGATGAGAAGTTGTCTTACAAGAAAAAGTCAAATGCTGAAAAGGTTCAAAATCAGAAAAAAATGGAAAGGCTCATACCGCTGCGCTTAAATGTTGAGTGTCGTGAAACCAAATCCCAACGACCAATCAGAAGAAAGGAAAATAACTTTAGGCGCCAATGAGAACTCAAACTCGAAACAATCAACCTGCCTAAAGCGCGAGAAAACGCGGGGAAGCGCGGGAAAAAGTCGTGATTGGGTTTTTGTTCTGCGTCTGATTTCTCGAGGGAGTGGAGCGAGTTTTCCGGACTTATAACAGAGCGAAGTAAAAAAAAAAACAAAACAAAAAAGAAACAATCCACTCTGGGAGAACTTGCGACACTTAGTTGAAAAATGCTCTAGCATCAACGGACTTGAGGACTGGTTTTCATTTATGCAGGTGCTTACAGTATTCCGTTGTTCGTGTTGACTTCCGAGTTTTCCGGCATTCGCTACAGAGGTGTAGCTGGAGGACTGGTATGGACTGGATACTTTCTGTTCACCATGATCCTAGCTGGAGTGGCATACGCTATAAGAGACTGGCGTCAGCTCACTGTTGTTACTGGAACTCCTGGACTATTCTTTACGGCTGGATACTTGTGAGTAAACAGAACTTTAGTGATAGATACCAAGCAGTTTTTCCAGGTGAAGAACTTAGTCCACTCCACTGAGTTTATGTTTGCAAGTCGCGTGATTTGATTGCGTCCATCTTCAAGCCCGAGGTCAACAATGGATATATCGGTAGATTCAAAGTTTACTGAGAAAAATCGAGAGAATTATGTTTTTCAGTCAGTAATACCAGAATACCCAGGAAAACGATAAGTATGAAACAGATATCGATCCTTATTATTTTCTTAAGACTCTGTCGATGTCTGATAATTTAGTCGAAAGAACAAGCTAAAAAACACGCCGAGGCACCAACGTATAACACTGCCACGTAAACTAGGGGTCTATTTACATGGGGGTGGGGGACCCTAGTTGGGTAAAGTAACCCGCCTAGGTGGGGTAACCCGTCAGTCGATATAATCTCTTATTTAGTCTTGATTACGTTTACATATATCATCATAACAGTCTGTCGGGAGTGACAATGACTGTTTCATTTATTGTAGGTTCCATCAAATTCCTCCGCGCAGCTCTGTCCTTCGCTTTCATCTGCCAGGAACTCTTGTCTGTATCCAACTTCTTTAGGTTCTTCTGATTGTCAATTTACATCACCAACTAAGTTGATAAAACCAAATTATAAGCCAAAATTGTTATCTCCAATGATCAAAAGGACTTATCTTCATTTATTTTGTATTAACCCTATTGCCGCCTTCAGTTTTATCCCAGAGTCTGTCCGCTGGCTGTTAAAGAAAGGGAGAGAAGAGGAGGCCAGGGTAATCTTATGTAAAGTTGCTGAACTGAATGGAAAAGAAATGCCCACTGGATCACTGGAGTTATCACAAGAAGAGCAGAACGAGAGGCTCGGTGACTTCCGAGATTTGTTTGTGTCACGCAAAATGATTCACAAGACGTTAGGTTCCTGGTTAATGTGGTAAGTTATGTCTCTAATATAAATGATCCACGAGTTGTTCAATATATTTTTTCTTCATAAATCACACTTGAAAAATGTTGTCGTGATTATTTCCAGAAATGTGCCCTTTTAGCAATTGTTTTGAAATTAACTTCAATTTCCTAATTTCTCTCTATCTTTGTCTTTTCTCCCGTCATGATAAGGTTCTCTGCATCCTTTATCAGCTGGGGAATAGCTTTTAGTGCCCCTTTTGTCGGTGGAAATATCTACATAAATGTCCTCATAACTAACGTAGCTGGATTGCCAGCATACCCAATAAGTGCTGCTTTGACGATGAAGTAAGTATTACTATTAAAGTAAAGAGACTCTTTATATCTGTTCTCTCTTATTTGTCCCTTTAAAGTTTCTAAACGTCTATGATTCTAAAGATATAAATTTTGACTACAAACTTGGTTATTGTATATGCTGACCGATAATATTTTTAGATAAAAAAATTGTCACTCCAAGTTGAATACCATTTGAAGTCTGCTGCCATACATAGAAAAGGATGATTCAATCAAAATATCTTTAAAGTGAAGCAGCCTAGAGAAATCAAATTCAGTTTGACCATCGATTTCTTTGTTCAGTTGTCGACTAAGATCAAAAACTTTCTGCTATTATTTCGACAGGTTCGGCCGCAGAAAAATTCTTGGAGTATCGTTTCTGTTAGCTGCTGTAGGAGCCATTGGGGCACTTCTACTGTCAGACAAAGCTGAACACGATAAAGGTGAAGAACTCACAAATTAATTATCATAGAGGAAAGATTTTTTTCAATAATTAACGATTAAAACTCACAAACTAACCAGCCACCAAGTTGCAGCGATTGGTGGAATTTTCATATCGCTGCACTAAGATATGCATTTCATTTCGGATGGAAAATTCGTGAATCGTCAGACTCTTGACGGAACTGTTCATCCATGAACAACGATCATAGAAACTCTCTATTCGGCCCTCGAATAAACTTTAAATATGCTCCCCAGGCTTTTTCTGACCGTGATTTTCTATAAGTGTTCTTTTTGTTATTACTAATCAGTTTAAGATTTTTCTCTACCCCAGGTTACATGGCTGGGAAAATCTTCATGTCCATGGTCGTTGCCAGGTTTAATAGTGAAATAGCCTTTTCCTTGGTTTACATTTACGCTGCTGAACTGTTTCCAACGACTATAAGGTAAACTGAAAGATGTATTGTTTAAAAGATGGCTCCTCCTATTTTTTTTCTAGAATGTCGGTCATTTCAATGCGCTTTTTAAAGTATTCGTTTACTCGTCAATCATAACAGAGTAAAAATTTCACTTTACTCGGTTTGTTTTTAGCTGCTTATGCTAGTGTGTTTTTATCTAAAAAAAAAAGAAAAAAAAAACAGACCTCCTAAAGTCTTTGCTCATGTCCTCCTCATTAAAGCGGAAAAAATCGCTGATATAAGTGGCGGCATAGTGACGCACCTTACGTCACCGATTTCGAAAGCCTCTGTTCTCTTTTTCCCCACATTGGAGGAGTGTTTTAAAAATCGTACATATTCAAAAGGTTTTCATTTGGAATTTTCTGAAAGCCACTCGTTGACTTCACAAAGAGTTTCAACTGCAGTTGCATGAATGAGTCCAAGATCTGTCTGGATTCTGTGGCTGTGATCTGGATGAACCTGTGAGACATTCGTTTTGAACTATCATAAGAGTTTATTTCATCCAGACGGTCCCTTAGATAAGGAATTAGATATAGTGTGAACGGGTGAAGTCAAGAGGCGTGAGCCTGCTTTGGTATTAGGGAAAAGTTCTTAACTTTAACCTTGGACTTACTGTAAATGTTTACAAATGACGAAGAATAAATGATTCTCATGATATAATCAGATTGACAAGGTAATAAATTGATACAGTTTACCTGAAAATTGACATTTTTTTTTTCTTCTCATAGAAATGTAGGCATGGGTACATCTACGGCTTCAGCCCGTGTAAGCGCTTTTGCCTCGGCTTATGCTCCGCTCTTGGTAAATAATCAATTTATATGTCCTTTACTCTGTTAGTGCGATATATTATATCTCTTGGTGTGCGTGGTTTGCTTAAGGATTTCTCGTTAAAGAAAACAAGTAATCACGCCTAACTCGGAACAAACAAATTCTGCAAAGGAAATAAAGCTGGATACACAAGATAGAAAGTTAGAGCGAATCCCGTGAAAGTGGCAAGCAAGTATACAAATAGGTCGACATAGACTATAATCGTTCGGATTTGAGACAGAGACAGACCTGTCTTCCCCCCCCCTCCCCCCTCAGGCGTAAGGGCGAGTTAAATATTAACAACAACAACAACAGTATAAATGAATGAATAGGTAAATAATAAGCAAAAGCAGACACGAAGAGAGAAATGCCCAGGAACCAGACGGACAGATTGAATACATTATTATCAGGTGCCAGGGGAATAACAACTTACAAAATACAGTCGAACCTTTACTCATGGCATCTTTCCGATAGCCCCGCACTTCTCTAAATTTATCCCCACCTTCCCCTGCACGGTCGCCTCTTTTAAAACACCTGCTTCCCTCTGTCCCTAAGGTATCTACTGGATTTACTTTTAAAAACCTGAATTTACTTTCTTTCAACAGTTTACCGTTCATCGTTTCCTTCCCTTTGGTATAATGGCTGGTCTGGCCATAGCAGCAGCTATGGGATGTATGACTTTACCAGAAACTCTCAATCAACCAACCGTGGAGAGTTTGTATTCTGATCAGAGTGTGCCAAAGAAGGACGCGGATGACAACGAAAACGAGGTTGTTCCTGAAAACAAAGATGAAACGATCGCTTTAATGTGAAAAAGCAACAACAGCTCCACTACTACCAACGAGAAAGAATTGCTTCTTCGTATCCTACAGCCTTACAATGAGCAGGAAGATGCAAAGACAAAGCCTGTGGCTATTTTTTTTATAATCGTTTAATTGCTATGTAACAAACTCTCCATAATACTTATTTGTACCAACTACTGCATTCAATCCTCATTGCCTGGGGGACAATGCTGTTATGCATGCCAGTATCAATCGGACGAACAAACCGTCCCTATTCATGACGCAAGGTTCATGCTGTTAATTGGAAATCGGGCCAAATATTTTTTCTTGGGCAAAATTTTTGCCATGTGTTATCCTTATATTCTCAGCCAATTGAAAAGCAAACAAACAACTAAAACAACAAAACAAAAACAGCAACTACGACAAAACGAACGAGCATAACGCCTACCATGATTCCCTTTTTTTTAGGTGCTAATAGATATTTTCTTTATGGTAAAACGCTGCCAAACGTTGCTTGACAATAAACAATCAGAAGTTAAATATCAAAATGTGCCACTCGTTTCAATATCTGGATCATCAATGGGAAAAAAGAAAAATTAGGCTACGCTCCGAGTATTTTTTTTTCAGGTACATGCAGAATAATTTGGTGGGGTTTTATATATTAAAGCAGACAGCTTATTAAGGTTTTCCCATTCCGCGATCATTAAATCATCACTACCGCGTAAGCGTGAATCTGTATGCATTGGGTTTCCGGGCACAATTTGAAAACATTTCAAACTCAAAGTTTTCGCTACACTGGCAAAGTAATTTCAAGTACAAATAATAGAAATGAAAAAAAAAATTGCTAAATTTTTATTTTGGGCTCAGATATCTCTCCTTCCCTCTTCTTTCCTCTTTGGCTTGTACTGCCCCAGATAATACACACGTTCACCAAATTAGATTCCTATGACCTTAATGACCAAAATGACACATAGCGCGTTTAGGCAGTCTGCGGAAACAGTATAAGTGAGTGTGCAAGCCTGCATCAGAGCTCAAAGTGGTAAAATTCTCCCTTTTAATTTTTGAAACTCCGGGCCATCCGGTCTGAACGTTGAGGCATTTACTCAGGCTATTAAAACCAATTTTGTTAAAATTGGTTTTAACAAAATTGGACACGTAGAGCTCCTTAGAGGGGCTTGCCCAAGAATTTCACCGTTTCTCTATTGGTCTATCCTTTAGGTTCTCATGATGATTAAACTAGGCTTCTTTGAATTTTAATGTTAACTTTGCCTGTTAATTATAAATTACTTTCTCCGTTTCTTAGCAATCCCGCGTTTGTGAGACTCTTTTTTTATACAACAAGGCATTTCGCCTTGTAGGATATTCCGCCATTCTACCATTCCACCGTTCATCATTCCATCAAATAGGGTAACCTGTTAAACTCAAGATATCGTACTTCGAAACTCAAGTTGCTCGTCTGGCAAATTTAGCGGCTCGTTTTATACATCAATCGCCGATTAAATTGGTAAAATGCTCTCTTTTGGACTAAATACAATTTTTCTTCAAAGTTTCCACGATGTGCAAATAAAACCTTCTTAGATATTTCTACAAGAAAACTCTTTTTTCAATTACGTGCCGAAGACGCCATTGTGAAATTATGTTTAGATGTTTATCATCTTTTGTGGTGTCACGGCATAGAACTGAAAAAATTATATCTTTGGATCTGCTGGGCATAATTCGTTGATTCTCCTCAAAGAGAGCAATTTTCATGATGCGCCGATCAGATCTTTTAATACATTTCCGCAAGCTAAAGCCTTGATTTTTGATGCGCCACCCTGAAATGATTGCGAGGTGTTTATTGTCTTCTATAATATTCTGAATCAAACAATAAGTAGCACCGAGAAACAGTGCGATCACGTATTAATCCGAGTAACATTCGAAGTGATCCCAAAAAATCGTCACTAAGCGTTGATCGACCGAAGATGCTCTGAAACACAATGCAAAAGCCAAGAACGTGGAATACCGTGTAAAACCCGGCAGACTTATTTGTAGGTCGAGAGGTCGTTCCCATTCTATTGTGACACTCACTCAACAAGACAACATTATGGATTCGCATCCATAGGAGGCATTAGGCCATGAAAATTTAAAAAAAAAGTAAAAGATAAAAAAAAAGAAAATGAATAAAAGCACGTGCAGCGCCTTCGCATCATTTCTCGTGGACTTCTCGTGACTTTAGGATTACAGAACTTTTTCAGATCATTTACTCACTTAAAAACGTATTTCATTTGCTTGTTCTTTTTGTTCAACAATGGCACTGACGACAGATGCTTTTTTTGAACGGATTGGGAGTTTTGGTCGCTACCAGATTGCGCTCAACGTGTTTTTTAATCTATGTTATCTCTTTTGGTGGGCTGTTCCCGTGATGATCATGGTGTTTATAGCTTCAGAACCCAACTGGAAATGTATAAATAACTCCACTTGCTCATTCACAGACAGCATTAGTATCAGAGACGAGAGATACAAACACAGATGTAACATCTCAAGGGGAGACTGGAAATTCGAAGACGACTTCACATCAGTTGTCACTGAGGTTTGTGCTCAGTAAACCTGATCAAATTCATAGACAATGCCTTTTGTGGACTATCGTTTTGAGTACAAGTGTAGCAGATGCAGCGCTTGTAAGAGATTGCGACACGATAGCATTACTACCAAACAAACTTATAAAATTACGGGGGAAAATTCAAAATCGCTTCTCTTACTTTGGCTAAATTCACGAAGGAAATGCGAAAATCGCCATTACAACACGAGTGCGAATTTCGAATGTTAGGCCTGAGCGCTTTTATGTCAAATCACACCCAGGGGAGGGTGGGAGAGTTAAATTTTGTTTCAGGTCGCTGCTATCCAAGGACGGTCTGTCAAAACACGAACTCTCACTACTAAAAAATCATGGTACGGATAGATAAAGGAACCAGATATGTTTACGGCAAAATTAAACAGAAATCTGTGTTTTATAAGAACTAAAAAGAAAAAAAAAACCAAGAGGAGGAGGATACGGAGATGGATATCGTTGCATATTCCTTGAGGGGAGGGGGGGAGGGGTGCCTGGATCAAATCCCCTATGCAAAGAGCTAGCGTGATATCTTCTGTAACTATTGTTACCCCCCCCCCCCAAAAAAAAAAGCTTTAAGTTGTAAGCTGTCTGTTAATAAGCTCTGGGGTTTATACAAAAGGTAACATATCTGATGAGATGTCAATTCGCGTATCTGATTGTTATTTTTTTAAATCACAGTTCAACCTTGTCTGTGACCGCGGCTCCTTGGGATTCGTATCAACCTCTGTGATCTTCGCAGGTTTCTTTGTTGGCAGCATTGTTGTTGGTACTTTGTCAGACAAGTTTGGCAGGAAGCGCCCTCTCTTTATCTGTGGCTTTTTCTGCTGGCTGTTCAATTTTGTTTCTGCATTTGCACCGACGTTTTGGTTTTTCGCTCTTTGTCGTAGCATAGTTGGCTTTATGCTGGGTAAGCAACATTTACCTCGAGTAGCTTGTCATCGTAAAAGTGTGTCAGTTGAGGTAATGGAAATCCTTCTCCGGACCTAAGTACTATGTTTCCGGGGAGAAGTGGGTTACTGCCCATAACGGCCCATAACGGCCCATAACGGCCCATAACGGTCCATAACGGCCCATAACGGCCCATAACGGCCCATAACGGCCCATAACGGCCCATAACGAATGATGCTGCCGAAAATGGGAAACCTTTCGGGTTTCAAATATCATGAAAAGCTGTAGATTTACTGACTTGAATAATATGGAAAAGCAAGGAAATTTCCCCCTGAGCAATTTTAAGCTGCTTTTGGCTGTGTTCTTAAAAAGGTTCTTAAAGGGTGTAAACTTTTTTTCATGTAGGGAATACCGGAGGGTAATTCTTTCGGCTAAAATATGCACAAAAGAGGGTAAAATTAAGACCTCAAGACGAAAGATTTTCGTATGGAAGTACCTCTGAGTACCATGGTCAATCCTTCCAAAAATAAGGGGTTAAACGTTAACATCCCTCCTTCCCCATGTAGATGCATGGTTGTTGAGTATATTAGGAACAACATTGTCCGTTTTATTTTTATTTTTTAACATACAGGAGGGTATAGCATCCCGGTGTTTGTGTTGGCAATGGAGTTTTCTGGGATACGTCACAGGGGTGCCGCAGGAGCACTCGTTTGGAGTGGTATTGCAGTGGGAAGTCAGGCCTTAGCCGGATGTGCTTATGCCATTAGAGATTGGAGGCTTCTGACCATTGTCACAGGAGCTCCTGGGTGCATGCTTGTAATTGGCTGGTTGTAAGTAGCACGTTTCACTGCTAGTACAGTGCTATAGTAACCCATTTCTCAAGACTAGAGATTAACATGCCCCCACAATATGCGCACTCATCACATAGTTCAGACTACAAGGCATACAATTTTCTTTTTCTTTTTTTCTTTTAGTTTAGCAAGGTCACACTAATTAACTAAATGAATGTAAAAAATCACTAAAATCTCCCCCAATTGGAGCTTATATCTATTTCCCCTGAAAATTGTTAGCATCGTCTCCTGAAACTCTCTTGTATTTCCAACTGTTTTATTCATATATTTGTTTATTTATCTTGAGATGTTCACTGTGTTTGTCGAGATCACAATACTTCTTGTCCCTTAGTTTTATTCCGGAGTCCATCCGTTGGCTTCTCAAGAAAGGTCGGGTGATGGAAGCGAGAGACATACTTAGTAAAGTTGCTAAGGCGAATGGTAAAAGCATGCCAGGAGAGGCATTACTTTTGCCCAATGACGAGAATATTGAGCGACTTGGTGACTTTCGTGATTTGTTTATGTCGGCTGGGATGGTTCACAGGACACTCGCTTCTTGGCTCATGTGGTAAGTTTGCTTGCTAGATTTGATACGATGGATTTGAACTCATCATCATCAAAAGTATTGCAATATAAGTTGTGCTTTGCCTTGAGTTGCAGGTGTACACTGCTGCCTGAAAATTTCATAATGTACCTGTTGTTTTATAAGTGTATCCTCTCTTTAAAAAGTATTTGTCTCTCTTTTAAAGGTCTTCTAATCACTCTTAACAAGCTTAATACTTTCTCGTTCTGAAAACAAATTGTCTTTTGAATTCAGCTCAGGAATAACTAATAAGAGTTTAATCTTGCAAATTGACTGTGCACGAACTTGGATTATATAAGAATGGAGAGACTTTCATCACCTCCCAAACTACTTATTTTATTTTTTATTTATTTTTTTTAAATTCATAATCAGGTTTGCAGTATCTTTTATTTACTGGGCGACAGCTTTTAGTGCACCATTTATTGGGGGCAATACCTACATCAATGTTGTCATTGCTGCTGTTGCCGGTTTAATAGCATACCCTCTATCTGCTGTTTTGGCGGTCAGGTAAGAAAATCTATAACGGAACCAGCTATTTAACTAAAGAATTATCCCAATCAGTAAACCAATGTACCATTAAATCAGTTAGTTTGGTTTCATCAACTCAGTTAATAATTCAATTTGGCCACCGCTGCAGAGAGTTTCTAAGGCTGACATTACGAGCGTCAGCTCTTCATTCACCCTGACGAGGGGCTAACACTTGGAACCGTAACGTTAGCCCTAGAAACACTCTATAGTGGCCAAATTACATTATCAACTCAGTTGATTAAACCAAACTTTCTTATAAAAACCACACAACGACGTAGCACCGAAGCACCACAGTTTCTACAGAAATTTCCCCTCTTTATCATCAAATCACTCCAGTCAATTACTCAACCAATTTATCAATCAGCAGCAATGAGTCATTCATTGGATGATATCATCGATCGGTCGATCGATCGATCGATCGAGCGATTCTCTGGTCAATTCATCGATTGTTGTGTCATCTATACTATCTGTCAACTATATGAAATTTTTTGAGTTTAGTTTTTCGTGTTCTAAACGTTTTGTGAGATAGGTAATTTTCCCATTATATATTTTGAACTTAACCATAGTTGAATTCTTATTTGCTCCCATGAAAAGTTTTGTTCATTTCATATCTTGACATCTAGATTTCGTCGAAAGCAGATCATTGTGGTATCGTTTATTCTATCGGCTGTGGGAGCAGTTGGTGCACTTCTTTTATCAGACAAGGATAACGACAAAGGTGAAATGTATCTTATCATTTGATCAACTCTGCAAAATCTAGAAAACGGGTGATTCAATTAATACTGTTCGTACAGAAAGGAGAGTTGAAATATTCTCAAAAAGCTATATTTCCCCTTGACTATTAATTGCTTTTTTGGAGAGAACATACTGCGGGGAGACTAGATAACAATTTTGCGGCGAAACATAGAAGTCAAACTTTGAATGTTGTCCTTCAGTAACATTTTGGGTAAAACAAAAACGCTAATGTGGCCTTGAATTACTGTAAATATTGTACAAGTCCGAGCTTTCGCCGCTCAACGGCATCGTAAGGGACGGCCCCAAACGCGAACTTCGTTATCAGAGGCGTATTTTCCTGCTGCAATGACCAAATTGTCTCACCAAATTGTCTCATTAACGACGAGTAGTAATTAATCCTTACTGAATAGTAATGCCGGAAATGACCCCACAACCTCCCTGAGGAGGATCGCTAGTAAGGGCTTTTTCGATGAGTCTGTTAATGCTCCTGCAATACTAGCTCCATTAATGATCCTTTACCAAAGCTGAGTGTAGCAGCATGATGAAAGAATCTTCCTCTCAGATAAGAGTTAACGTTTAAATTTTGCTAGTAGGTTATCTGATTGGTAAAATCTTCATGTCCATGGTTGTTGCCAGGCTTGCTGTAGCCATCGCATTCACTTTGATTTACATTTTCACCGCAGAGATGTTTCCGACGACTTTGAGGTAATTCAGTGGCTTAGAACCGCTAGAGAAGAACTTTATGAGCTGTTCCGACCAATTCTGTCACCATATCGAAAATAATATTCTCTTTTTCCTTCCATATATATTATCATTTTATCTTATAACGTATCCGATCAATTGATTTCTCTTCCGGTCTGCAGTGTCAAAGACGAAATAGCTGTTTTAATCACAGACGCCATTTACGCATCGACCGACTATTCTTTATTGTTGGAGAAAACTTCTTATACGTTCGCGCAATGCCCCGTCACGAGGCAACACTATAATGAAGCTATGCCAACCTGACATCACAGTACCCTATGATCATCTTAATTCTTTATGTTCTGTTGCAGGAACGTTGCCATGGGTACATCAACAGCTGCTGCCCGTGTAAGTGCTTTATTGTCAGCCTTCGCTCCGCTATTGGTAAGAGACCAACATATTTACCTCTCCTATAGGTTACCGAGCTCTTACTTTAATTGGGATTTGATATCTAGTGAATACACCTCCTTCAAATACTCAAATAACGTCCCAATACTCAACCTCCTTTACTCAACAGCTAACCGTCCACCGATTTCTTCCATTTGGAATAATGGCTGGTTTGGCCGTGGCAGCTGCTGTTGTTTGCCTCACTCTACCAGAGACTCACAACCAACCAACTAAAGAAAATCTGCGTCAGGAAGAAGCCAACCGAAAAAATGAAAAACTTCGTGACGTAGCTCAGTGCCAAAGTTTTATAGAAATCCCAAGAAAATGAACCAAAACTGTATTGAAACCTAACTACCTGGTTCTTAAGGGATTGTTCTGTTACTTTAGCTAAACTCGGTTTTATAACACAAGCTCACTAACCCTGGCTGTCGAAGCTTCATAGCTTAGAGGGAAGTATACTTGAGATATTTGCGGTCAAGCAAACAGAGCCCTGTGTTCACAAAATCAATTTATAACATAACCAAAGTAAAGCGCGCGCTCTGATTGGTCAATTTAGCGTCCCCCATTTGCCCATGGGTGTACGCTGCTGACGTGAGCAAATGCAAAGACTATTTTCCC